TGGAACCTAAACCACACCATCACATTGTGACGCGTTTCGGAAGTATTTCGCAGCCCTCCTGCCTGCAGAAGTTGAGGCGCTGAACTAGAATCGCGTGATTCATCCAGTCCTGTCGCACCCAGCCCTTTTGCGCCCGCCACACCGAACATCCAACTTATCCTCCCGACCCTTTTCCTCTCTATTGGTTATCCACGGATAGAAGTCGATTTCTATTTTCCACAGCTATTACCTTAAAGAGCAACTGCTGGTTGATGGTTGAAGGAACTGGGTGGGTTGAATGTGCCCAGAGATAAGGAAGGTTTGGGAACGATCAGGCTTCCTCCGCCCTCGTGGATGGACTGCTGTCTTTAATTCGTGGAGTTGACGGACTGCGAATGTGCCGGGTACGTCGATTCGAGCGGACCACCAACTCCATCTTCGAGAAATCTCCCATATCGATCCACGATTACCTATAATGAACCCGGCGGCCACGGGCTCTACGCAATGTCCGGACCTTCCCAACCTACCCTTGTCCCAACAAAAGATGCTGAGAGAGGGGTTCTGGGCCCCGTGGTCGAGCGCGATGAGTTTGGGTTACCTATTCGAACTCACAGTCGGTCACCACAATCAAACAAAGATGACGAATCACTAGTCGCGAAGGACGGGGTAACGCTTGCAAAAGATGACAAGGCTGCGGCGCCAACTTCCATTGAAAGCGCGAAGGAGTTAGACCTATCAGAAGAAGATCGGGCAGTTCCACCCACTATTGCATCTGGAGCTGCAAGGCATTCTCCCGAAAATGGAGCCGTTCCGCATTCCACGCCAACACCCGATATTTCCAACATAGCGAAAGATTCTGAACCAGTGGGCACCTTAGCTGAGTCCAGTAATTCACATACGCCGGAGAATATCGACAAGTTTGAATCATTGGACTCAGATACTTCGAAAACTCACAAACGTTCTTCGTCCACCCAAAGCACCCAACACATATCTGAATGGTCACATCAACGGATTACGGCTGTCGAGGAGGAGAAGGTTAGTGACGTTTCTGAGGACGAGGGATGGAAGGATATGCCAGCTTTGGATGAATTTGATATATACGATGATTATGGTAGAATTGTTGCTCGTGGCGCTGCACAGGAAGATGATGCGGCTGTTTATCAGGGACTTGGGGGCGCAGGGAAAGGCTATACTCGTGTCCAGATCGACGAAGATGTGCAGTCAGTCACCAGTTTAGATGATGAGACGAAGTACCTTTTCAAAGAGCCGGAAAGCAATGCTATTGGTGTTGAAGACGAGCAACGGGACCCCCTCGCCCAGTTAAAAGCAACGAAGGACCTTTTAACTGAAGGACAAAGAATTGCATATGTTGGAGTGACAAGATTAACTATCTATCAAATGACAAAGGAATTTCAAGATATAAAGCCATCGAGATCATCGAAGAAGTACATATCTGCAGCCATTGATGCTATGTCCAAATGGGGTCAGCAGATGATGATCCGGCTATATACACACATGGACATCGACTCTGCGGAACAGATAATGATCGAACAGCTGGCAGAACATGGCGTTCAGCCAGCCGACCTGATCCCGCCGCTCATGAAAAATTCTCGAGTTAGAAACCCCCTTTCTGCTGAAGTTGAGTCCCCAAGACAATCAAACTCTCCCCCCGCTGCCCCTGCCCCGGAGAAACTCCCCAGTTCAAGTGGATCATCAGATTCTTCTGAATATTGCTCGTTGCGATCATCATCACCGCCACAGCCATTGTATGAAAGTCACCCCGATGGCGATATACCAGAAGTTAAATCTCCTTCTGAGATGCCGACTTCAGAGAAGATAGATATCGACATTCGATGGACGGTGCTTTGCGACCTATTTTTAGTACTTATTGCTGACTCGACGTATGACGCCCGCTCACGTCGATTGCTAGAACGAGTGGGAGAATCCTTGGGTGTGACTTGGTCACAGATATGTCGGTTTGAAAAGCGGGTGGTTGATGCATTGGAAATGCAAGAGGAGAAAGGTAAGGAGACCTGGGATGAAGCGGAACATATGGAAACGAGACGAAAACAGGCCTTGAAGAGAAGATATATGATCATGGGCCTTGCGACGGTTGGTGGAGGCTTGGTGATAGGCCTTTCAGCAGGATTGCTGGCGCCAGTCATTGGTGCAGGTCTCGCAGCTGGATTCACCACGATCGGAGTCACCGGAACCGGTGCATTCCTAGGAGGTGCTGGGGGAACAGCTCTCATAGCATCTGGTGCTACACTTACAGGTGGCACAATAGCTGTTAGAGCTTCTAATAGGAGAACTGGTGCAGTGAAAACGTTTGAATATCGGCCCTTGCATAATAATAAGAGGGTTAACCTCATCGTCACCGTTTCTGGGTGGATGACCGGTAAAGTTGACGACGTTCGACTGCCTTTCAGTACAGTGGATCCCATAATAGGGGATATCTATTCGGTCCTTTGGGAACCAGAAATGCTTCAGAGTATGGGAGATACAATTAATATTCTTGCAACGGAGGTATGTGCAACTTATTGTTTACTTTTAACTAGTTTTCCTTTTGCTAATTATTGTATCCATCCAGGCTCTCACTCAAGGTCTTCAGCAAGTCTTGGGAAGCACCATTCTTGTTGCTCTAATGGCATCGTTACAACTCCCAATTGTTCTCACCAAACTTTCGTACTTGATCGACAATCCGTGGAATGTTTCCCTGGTCCGTGCTAATGCATGTGGCCTCATTCTGGCCGATTCCCTCATGGCTCGAAACCTCGGGAATCGACCCGTCACTTTGATAGGATTTTCCTTAGGGTCGCGCGTAATCTTCGCGTGCTTGAAAGAACTTGCCGAGAAAGATGCGCACGGGTTGGTTCAAAATGTGTATCTATTCGGTTCTCCAATTGTTGCAAATAAAGATGAATACCTGAAAGCGCGGAGTGTCGTTTCTGGCAAGTTTGTGAATGGCTATGCTTCCAATGATTGGATTCTCGGATACCTCTTCCGAGCCACCAGCGGTGGGATTATGAGGGTAGCCGGCCTTGCCCCTGTGGATAATGTTCCTGGAATCGAAAACATGAATGTCACGCAGCTCGTTAACGGGCATATGGCTTATCGTGCGGCGATGCCGCGGCTACTTCGCGAGCTGGGCTGGGAGGTGGAAAGTGACGAATTTACTGAAATTGAAGACCCCGATCCAGATAAGCATCAAGAAAGACAACGAGAGCTGATTCGTGAAATCGACGAGGCACGCAAGCAAGCAGAAGCAAAGCCGGATAAGACGCGATTTGGCTTCTTTAAACGTGGGAAACTTGCTGAGAAGAAAGGATGGGAAACTTACGACGTAGATGGCAAGGACTGTTCTTCTCGAAATTCGTCTGATAGTGGGCGTAGCCGTACTTCTCACAACCCCTCTGTTCTGTTTGATATCGGTGCTATCCGCGCCGAGCTAGCAGCTGAACAAATGGAAGTGAAGCAACTAGAATCCACACTTCCCCCGATAAAGATTGATCTCAACCAACCTTCACATCTACCCCGAGTTTCATCGTCTGGCGAGAAACCGTCAGTGAGTTCGTCTGACGCCCCGGAGCCCAAGGTGACAAAGGCCAACGGTGGTCCTTCAACTTTAGGCCAATCGACTGCAGGGCAACCGAGTCAGACCCTTGGGGCCTGGCAGGAAACGTTTGAAAGCAACCACCGCGGCCATGACGACGATAACATAGAGATGACCTTTGATACATCATATACTAGTCCTCCATCCCGATCACCTCGGCCACCGGCGGCCTTGTCTCCACCATACGACTTGTCCAGGATGAGTTTGTCGCCATCATTGGAATCTGCCAGTGGGCCAAGCTCGAGATTTGGCAGTGTTAACCTTAGCCATAACGCCTGGGCTGATGACGATGATGATGAACGAAAAGATGCGGGTATACAGATGAGTTTTGAGTAGTGAATAATAGCAACTAGGAGGCGGTGGGTTTTTCTTTTCTTTTCTTCTTTTATTTAATTATTGTCTTCCATGTTGATGGAAGTCTCAATTTATATATATCTTTCTTTCCGTATATAAATTTTTTCTATCCCAAACAAGTGGATTTTGTGTTGTCATTTCTCATTTTACCCTTATTCGTTTGACATTGGTGTTGCAAGATTTCTATCTGCTATCCAAGCATAAGATTTGCGCTTGGTGTTAATGAGGAGCTTCCTCCTTCGTTTTCCCATTCTCTCTTCTGTCGCGTTGACTAATGGATATCCCGGTACTATATTGATGTTTGTATAGAGGTTAAATTTCTTTGGATCTTTGCGTCTTAATCATAATCATCGAGTCATGACCATACCCCTCGACAGATGAATTTGTACAGGTTGTTGTTTTCTTTTCGGCTGCTAGTTTACTTTCAGTCTTATGGGAATCGCATAAGCTTCTTAACGCTAGGTTCTAGAGACGGGAGCTGGATATGCAGAGAGAAGTTAGTTATGTCTTTCTCTTAGTGATGCCCTTGGAGAATGCAGATGTAGATAACCGCATTTGACCCCTGGATATGAATATGGTGAGATACACCGATAATAATTAATAATAAGATAATTTTATATACTTGGTCCGTACAGTCTCTTTCATATCCATGTGCATATATATATATATATATATAATTATAGATCATAAACCGCGCTGTGTTCGGTCGTGAGCTTGGCAACAATCACGGGTTAGTTGCGTTGTTATCCTCCCGCTCAATTTGGGGCGGGTCAATAGAGTTGCGGAACGACCGACTTTAACTTAACCTACGCTCGAACAGCAATCCGAATTTAAACACCCGCGACCCAAATGCAAAGCGCGCCACGGTCGCAGCAGAATATCGCATTCCATGCGACGGTAGCCATCCGATATCCGTCTCCTTAATCACCTCTGCAGACGAAAGTTTGGGCCCGCACCCAACCTGCTACTTAGCAATTGGCCTCCAAGACGGCCCATTCTCATTCTCTTACAGCTTCTTCTCACTACACGCCCGCGCCCAAGCAAGTGGTGAACAATGGTCTCTGCTAGATCTAACTCTAGCTATTCCAGCAATTTTCTCACAAAACAAAATAATGCACACGGATCGCCTCTGACCAGAGTTGGAGGCCAAGTAGTACAACGTAATATCCCACAGAGCACAACCGTCGACTCAGCAGCTCGACGAAATGCACCCGGCAACAAAAAAAGAGCAAAGTTTGAACCCGCAACGGACGATGAACCCCTTAGTTCTACTGACGAAAGCGAAGAATTAAGTTCCCATGCAGGATTATCGCCTTCTCCGGAACCTCGACGGAGATCATATGGGTGGTCGGCTAAAGTCAGTGCTAGAAAATCATCTCAAGAGGCCGAGGATGAGGAGAAGGATAAACCAGTGTCAAAACGGAGGAAGAAAGAGATAATTACTCCACGGAAGGGGAGAAGGCGCTCAGGAAGGACAGAGTCTTCTCCAGTTGGGTCGCCAGAGGAGCGACTTCGTAAAACGTTTCTAGACCCCCCAGGGAAGGATATATTCCCTCTCTCCTCACAGCCAGATCGTGCGACGAAGAATCCCACAGTATATGGCAGTAATATCCATACTGCTCCGAAAAATATGCCTCCATCTAGATTCAAACACCCGCCTTCTACTTTTGACGACGATGATCTTGTCCCTCGGTCATCACAGGCCTCCGCGAAGGGCCCTGAGTTCCAAACCCCCCTCGTAATATCAACCGATTTCACCATAAGTTCCTCAATTACCGTCCCATCGCACCTGGGTGACATTCTTGACGACCTGTCATCGTCCCCATTGAGCTCAATCTCTTCCTCCATAAGCCTCCATCTATCGCAGGAGGAAAAGCAACATCTCGACTCAGCGACCCAAATGCCAAAGACGACTATCTGCCCCATGTGCGACCAGGTCGTCGATCCGAGATTTGTGGACGAATTGCAGAACCTCAGCGGCCTTAATTATAGGAAGAAAGCCCAATTCTGCCGCAATCATACAAGAAAAGCGGCTGAGCGAGAATGGGTCGATAGAGGCTATCCGACAATTGACTGGGAGAATCTCCACAAGCGCATCGAGAAACATTATGCTGAATTGGATCAGATATTAACGTGCAAAAAGCCATCGTTTTACCGGAACGTATTGGAGTCTGCCCGTTCTGGGGAGCGGAGGGGTAACCTCCGTTTAACGGTGCATGGAGACGGGGTGGATAAAATATCAACTGGATATTACGGCCCTTGGGGTGCGAAGAAGATGTACGTTGCACTTTCTCTTTCCCTGAACCTTGCCTATTCAACTGACGTATCACATACATTGATGCAGGATGGATGCAATCATCGGCCATTTTGCATTGAAATTTAATAGCCTGGCCCCGACGGACACTCTGATAAAAGCTGCTGGAGTCTCCGGCTTCGTGCAATCAGTCATGGTTCCGGAATTAGCGGTCATGTTAATCAAGGAAGATATGAGTATTGGAGACACAGATGCTCGCCTGATCTTGACGGATAGCATGGAAATTGGGAATTTGCTCAACGAGCAGCCTGATGATGTTATTAAGCGAGTTGTCAGAAAATGAAGGCTTTGTTTGAAGTTGGCATTCCTTTCGGTCTGGTACCAGGATACGTGTGTGGTGCATGTGCAGTGCATGCGGGCGTGTTCGTGAATGGAGTGAAACTGTTTCCTGCAAGCTGTATATCTCTTTTTTTTTCTTCTTCTTCTTCTTCTTCTTTCCCCCCCCCCCCCCTTGTTTAGATCCATATATTTCGCTTTATATCCTCACTTCAAATTTCCGCGCAAAAGGGCGTATGGAGCTAGATTGACTTTCATAGTTTTATATCTCTAACACTTGTTTCTTCAGCAGTTTAATGTTGTATCCAGATATGCAGTTGAGACATATGAGGGAGATTAGGATTCAACGAATAATAGTTAAATTTCCAGCTAATTGTACACACTCAAGGTCCAACGTTGCTCTCAAAGCCTGGCCTCAAGGGTCATAGTGATCCATAGACATAAAACATCGCTACCTTGCCATGGGTGGATAGTCCCGTTCCCTATAAGATCCATCCATCGATTTCCCCCTTTTACCAATCGCCGCGTACAGAGCCCTCCCTAACCTACACCCCTTCCTCCACAAATTGAAATCCAAATTTTGATTAAATCTTCGACGCCCTCCTCCCCCTGTACGCCAGCGCAAAAACAACCAACCCATACGTAGCCAACACGCTCAGACACATTGGTACAGGCTTTCTCGTCTTAAGGGCTCTGGGATATGAACTTCCTGCCAGCACTGTCGAGGCAATCAGCCCCAGCTCCTCGCCAAAGGGCTGTTGGCCGTGTAGACGGAAGCAGCTGAGGGCATAGAGCGCACCCACTGAGAGACCGGCAGCGATAGAGGGGATGGAGCCAGTGCGTGCGTAGCCGGCGATGCCGCCGCAGGATGTCAGCAGGGAGAGGGCGGCGGCGGAGTAGGCGGAATTTTGGGAGGACTGCAGTTTTGGGGATTAGTGTTTTGTGAAAGGGTGATAAATAGGAGTGTTATATATAAAAGCGGTTTACGATGTGAAAAGGGACTCCCGAGTGGGGTATTGACACTTAGGGTGAAAGCAAAGCAATGAAGTGGGTCTTTCCACACGCACCATTTGTTACGGATATGTATGGACTCAAGGCTTATCAAGTCAGGTTCTTACAATAGACTGGCTGGATATCGATGCGGGATGTCGTGATAAATTGTCCCAACTCAAAATGTCTTCAGAACCCAAGAACCAATTGAGAACGAAGGACCTCGGACCACGCAGCCAGAGCTTACGTGATCTTGAGTCATGTGATATTCGACTACCTGTTCTACCTTGCACAGGTTGAAATACCTGGGAATATATATATATATATATATATGTATTTATATATATATCTCTGTTATTGATGATGCGCAACTTGGAGGAAAAACCCATCGCGTGCTTGTATGCCACGACCAATAGAATGATTTGATACGAAGGGTATCTTCCAGCCTATTTACACCTCTCTATTCACCCGATATTCATTTTATTCTCCGCCGCCCCGCCGCAATGTCTCCCAAACGCCGTGTTGCTTCAAACTCCGCAGCTTCGCAAGCTCAACCGGCATCTCCCAGAACAGCACCTATGACTAGCCATGCCTCAAAACTCCCTTTGTCACCCAATTCCTCTGCCCAAGAAATTGTCGTTGTCATCTGGCAGCGGTATCTATCACAAACGCCCAAGAGAACCCTCCAGCTCGACGCATTCATGGCATTTCTGGTTCTTGTAGGAGCAGTGCAATTTGTCTATTGCGTACTGGTGGGGAATTATGTATGCTTCATTTTCTTCTCAGTCAAAGGTTTGAAAAGATCCAGGTTTTTGCTGACGTACGTTATATAGCCGTTCAATGCGTTTCTAGGCGGCTTCTCCGCTGCCGTTGGGCAATTTGTACTCACGGCCAGTTTGAGGATGCAGACGAGCCACCAGGGCGGAAAGGATGGGAAGGCCACATCTACGTCGAACATTGTGTCGACACCGACGGATGGACATCTACTGTCGAATGGAACGTCGAGCGAAAGGTTCGTGGCTCTACATGGTTTCATCGGGGCTTCTACTCAGTAACCTCCTATTTCACCCCTTCATTTATTATCACAACAAATTCTGCATCCCAAGAGTACCATGCGCAACTGCAACTAACGTGTCATATTGTTGTAGGGCATTTGCGGACTATGTCTTTGGCAGTTTGATATTGCATTTCTTCTGCGTCAATTTTATTAACTGAGCTGGTTCTTTCCTCTCTCTTCACTGTATTATCATCTTGTTGCATATGTTTCAGAAGTTGACGTCACGTTATAGACAAGAAATTCTATCAAAAGCAAAAGATGACCCCATATCTATGTTCTTCGTTAAGTTGTCGTGGTCGCCTCTTTTTAAGAAAAATTTTCCTTCTGGAAGCCATCGGAATTGCACTGGTAACAGCTGTACCAGGAATATCCCAAGGTTTCCAAAATGGACAGAACATATTTGCTGTACCATGTCGTGCTGTGGGAGATAAAAACTTAAAACAAAATAATCACAAATCTATTTCATTCTTGCCAAATACTTTTTCTGGGTTTGCCTGTTGAACAGCTTCTACGGTGCTTCAACGAGTATTTCTAGAGATGTGATAGATTCGGCAGATCGTGCCTCAAGTTTTGCATATGTACAAATGCACACAGGTCTACATGAACCGTTCTCCAAAACCTACTTTAAATACCACAAAGGAGTTCTACGCCAACAATTATATCTAAATGTAGAATGCCATCGCTCAAAATCCTCTCGCCGCCCTCTTCATAGCCGGCTTCTTAACCACACTTCCACCACTACCTCCTCCACCAGTGATTGGAGTCCCGGGCTTCCTTACAGCCGTCACGCCGGCGGCAGGCCTTCTCACAAGAGTTCTCAGACCCACACTTGCAGAGCCACCTTCCCTCTCCCGTTTCCTTCGCAAGGAATCTTCTTCGGCCTTCTTCTGCTCTTGTTCAGCCGCCCGTTCGCGGTCAGCAGCCATTTGCGCTTCGATCTCCATTCGTCTGTTGAATTCGTGCTCGGTCACGCGCCGCTCACGAGCTGAGTAGCCTTTTTCTTTTATGGAATAGAACACTCCGCCAAGGTCCGCGAGCCACTGGATTGGACGTTAGGTTAGAATGTGAGTCAACTGGAAAAATTGGCATGCGGGTTCCGGGGGCAAAATATTGTGTTAATACAATGAAATTTAAAAATATCGAAAACTTACCCGCGGATCCACAGAGGTAACTGTGGACATGTACTCTTTGCTCGTCAAAATTAACTCGTGATATACCACGTAATCGGGAAGGTAACCGAGACCGTACAGCGCGCTTGTGGGATGAAGCTGTACCGTAACGCTGGTGCGGAGGTTAATATATTCCCCAATGCCCTTAACTCTTGCGGCTTGGTGGAAGTACCCAGAACATATACACTTGCGTATAACGTCCCAATCAGTCCCGCAGCTGGTCAAGCTCATTTTCTGCATCTTCATAATGTCATGCAACTGTTCGCGGATTTCCTTGGAGCGGCGCAGTGCCTTGGGATGCAGAAAATGCCTTACGCACCACGTGTCCGAGTAACCGTTCGATTTCCACTGCGTATATACATGGAGCAGTGTCAGGTGGTCCGACTCAGGGACGAAAAATTTCTCCCGCGCAGCGTCCGATTCCTCTTGTCGCTCCTTTGGCCGGTAGAATACACCTGGGACAGAGAGCATTGAGACGATCGTTAACATCTCCTCGCTGCATTCGTACTTCTCCGACGCAGTGATGAGAAGCTTCGCGAGGGACGGGTCCATGGGGAAAGCACTCATGCGGCGGCCCATTGGCGTCAAGTCTCCAAGATTATCAATGGCACCCAACGCCCAGAGATCAAACAGTGACGTTGTAATTGTGTCCTGTGGCGGTGGGTCCATAAAGTCGAAATCGAGCAGATCCTTGACACCCAGGGATTTCAGCAGCAGTACAGTGTTGGCTAAGTTCGTGCGCTGAATTTCAGGTATAGTTTGCGGGTATAGCTCGTTTTTGAATGCAAGCTCTGTGTATAAGTGGTACGCCTTCCCAGGCCCAGTTCGTCCAGCACGACCAGCACGCTGTGAGGCGTTTGCCTGTGAGATAGGCGTGATTTGGAGCGTGTCCATACCCATTCGTGGATTATAAACCTTCAATTTCGAAAATCCAGCGTCGACAACGTACATAATGCCATCAACTGTTAAGCTAGTTTCGGCAATATTTGTGGCAACAATCACTTTCCTAACTCCAGGCGCAGCTTTGTCGAATATCTTAGCTTGAAGGTCTGCAGGCATCTGACTGTATATCGGTAGAATGCTAATCTTCGGTGGATCATTCAGAAGTGCCAATCTTTCCGCTATCAATTCACAAGTAACCTCAATGTCTTCTTGTCCGGTCATGAAAACGAGGATATCCCCAGGTCCTTGCGAAACATGAATAGCCAAAACCTGTTTCACAGCACTGTCCACATAGTCTTCACACGGAGATCGCGAGTATTGAATGTCCACAGGGAACGTTCGCCCAGAAATGAAAAATTCTGGGGCACCGCCATAGAATTTTGAAAAACGTTCTGCGTTCATGGTGGCTGAGGTGACGATGAGTTTCAAATCCCGCCTGCGTGCAAGAACTTTCTTAATGAGGCCCATCAAAACATCCGTATTCAATGCCCGCTCGTGAGCCTCATCCATTATAATGCAGGAGTATTTGTCCAGGTCCGGTTGCACCAGGGACTCTCTCAACAGCACACCATCGGTCATATCTTAAATGGGGATTCTAGTTAGTCAACATTATTTTCAAAATAAATGTATTCCGGGGGTTCCATAACACACATTTAATAACCGTTTCCTCACTGGTGCAATCCTCGAAACGAATGGCATAGCCAACGAGTCCTCCTAGCCTAACGTCCATTTCCTCACTAACCCGCTTCGCAACACTCATCGCAGCAACACGACGTGGCTGGGTACAGCCGATTAACCCAATTTTCGCATATCCATCCTCATAGAGGAATTGGGTTAACTGAGTAGTTTTTCCGGAACCCGTTTGCCCAACAACGATAACGACTTGGTTATCTCGAATAACCCTCAAAAGTTCCTCCCGGACCGCAAACGCAGGCAGAAACTCCCTCTGCTCCTTCAGCGTCTTGCTCTTACTAAACGCACTAGCCCCCTCGCTCTTCTTCATGTGTTCCGCAAATTTACTTCCACCTTTATTCTGGCCTTCCTCCTCGCCCGGGATCGGTGCCGCACTATCCCCCTCATCCTCCTTAATGCCCATGAGATTCCCCAACGCCGTGCCCGCCATATTAGTAGCATCCTGCGCTTGCTTCTGCCGTTCCTTCTGCACTCTCTTCTCGCGCACAACCTTACTCCCCTTCCGACTGAACACAGCCATATCACTCTGCGGATCCCGCACGGCAGGCACGGGATCAAGCTGCTTAGTGAAAACCGTCCTTCCATCCAGAAACGGGGGCCGCAAATCATGCACGAGCAAATGTACACGAGTTGAGTCCTCATCGTCATCGAAATCAGCATCATAATCCCTCCTTTGCGCCACGCCAGAGGTCAGCATGCGATTCGTTTCCCAGGCATCGACATCCTTCTGTTTCTGCACAGCGCGCGCGCTGATGCGCTTGCTGTTCTTCTTCTCGGACAACGCTACTTCGTGCTGTTGATCTGCCCATGAAGAGTCCTCCCCACCAAACGGGTTATGCGTCTCGTCACCGAAGGTGTGTCCCAAGTCATCGCCTGCGTACCAGTCTCGATCTAGAGCGAGGGAGTCTTCGATGTCGACAAGCGATTCTAGGCCTTGGAATGTCTCCTGGTGAGGGGTTGAGAATCCATTTCGAATGCCACGGGGAGTGGAGGCGCGACTGGTATTTGCGTGCTTGTCATCTAAGTTGTTACCTTGAAGTCGACTTCGGGGGACGTACATGTGTTTGGATGAGGGGCCCAGGTGAGATGGAGCTGGGGCAAAGCGGTCCGAGTCAAGTTTTCGGCGCTTTGGGCTATCTTCTCGGGTCATTTTTGTCCAATATATAGCTATATGTTTAGTTGGAAAGAGATTCAAGTCATTATACAATGACTGGATCTGTTGATTGAAGCTTGGTTTCGTGATGAAGCTTCGATATTGGTTGATAACATTGAGTTTGACATGTTTGACATGTTAGCTTTGTTTGCCACCACTCTCGGACCGAAAGTTTTGCCGAAGTCAACAGAGCATTGATTGTAGCAAGACGCAAGCAACTATGGAGGTACTCCAATGGATGGGATACAACTCTGTCATTTAATGCAGGGAAACAATCCAATAACAGATAACAGCGCCAGAAAATTGAAGAGAGAGCAAAATTTCAATTGGCAAAATGAATTATTAGATTGTATATAGAGAAAGTATATCAACGGCAAGAATGGGAAAAAGGGAAAACGTGGCGCAAAACGCATCCATGACAAGCATCCAAAACCCATTAAAAGAAAAACGAGGAAAGACAGAGGAGCAAGGGGGATATATGGGAAAAAAAAAAAAATGAAAAATGAAAAAAAGAAACCCATATGAAAAAAGACAAAGAAGAAGCAAAATAAAAAGTAATGTGATCTGAGCTCCCAACCTTCACCAGGCCAAGCTCCTCAAACCAGCTGGTTTCACAGTCATCAGTCTTAACGATGCCAGGTGGCATAGGAACGCTTGAGCTTGTATCCTCCAATCCTCTGTGGCATTTCTTTTTCTACACTTTCTTCTGTTGCCATTCAACTCAAGAATGAATCGCTTCATCTCAGAGCACCACTATCCTGGATCAACGGGTTTCTTTCTTCAGCAGCGCGAACCCACTTCCCCCAAATACACATCTCAGAAATTGTACATTGTAACCGACAATTAGGCTGTAGCAAAAAGAAAAAGGAGAAAATGAGACATCAAGAATAGTTGGAGAATCCAGAATATATAAAACTGTCCATCACCAACATATATGATCGGTTCAAGTCACTCTTACAATCTGTCCGCTCCCTTTTCTTACCTCTCGACCCCTTAGTTTTCGCCTGGCCTTTCTCCTCACAATCCTCGATCTCAATAGCACTTCGTCCGGTCCTGCTCTAGGCACATGGAGCTGCAGACAGCTACAATTACGTATTGTAGTCAGTTGCAAGAATTCTGCGGACCCTGGAAGCGTCTTTGCGAGAGCTAGTAGGTCTCGCCACCGACACCGTTGTGTGAAGGCCCCACCATGGTGGAATATCCGTATGTCGCGCTGCTCTGCTCGTTCGGGTCGAGGTTCGGGCTCAATATGTTGTTGGACCCCTCGGAAGGGACTGAGAAACCGGAAGACCCCGTTGCGCCTGCATTCCCAGTCCCACCGGGGGCACCGCTGGCTGCACCTCCGACTGGTCCGCCGGAGCCGTACCCGCTGCTCGGTGGCCGGTTCTGGTTCTCCCCCCTTGAGGATTGGGTCTCAAACCAATCAATTCAATTGTTCAGATATTATGTCCTCCCAAGTTGAGGAAAGAAAAATAAACTAGGAAATATATATCTTGGAAATTGGGAGGAGGATTAGATAGCTAGGTATCAGCCTATACTCACTTCGCGATATTTTGAAAGATAGATCTTTAGCGCTTCGGAGTAGTTTTCGAATCCGAGTGAGGTCATAGCAAAAAGGATATCTTCCCCATTGACAGTCTTCCTTTTTTCTTGTTGACATTTCTCCGAAGCTGGTAGGTTTAAAAGTGTTAGATTTAAATTTCCAATATCATAACAGTCCACCATGGAGAAGACGTTTGCAGATAACACACCTTCGCTGGTGATAAACGAGATGAACTCGCTCACGCATTCTTGCATGCACTCTTTCGCCTCTTTTGCGATTTTGGCATTTTCTGGGAGGGCGGATTTCATTATTCGAGCAACTAGAGAGTAATTGCGGATGTTAGCATCAAATACTTGGTTATGAGAATGCGTCGCGATCTGTAGCATTTCGGCTCATAAGGTGAGGGGTGAGAGCAATCGGAAGGGGCAGAACGCTAGACAGAGAGCCGCAGCCAAACAGAGTACGGCGCAGGGCTAGCTAGGAAAAGGCGAATGAAGTGCAAGTCCGGATGCATGTTTAAATCAAAAGGCTCCTGCTTGGATGTTTGAGAGAGGGGGGATCGGATAGCAAACAACCAACGAGAGGCCATCAGAGGAGAGCAAATAATAACACTACGGAAAAAGAGTGCACAAATCAAAAGCAGTCAAACGGCAAACATGCAAGAACGCGCTTAACGAACCATTTGCGATTGGAAGCCATCGATCCTGCTCTTTCACCTCAAATTCTCCCTGGCCTTGCGCTTGTGTATCTTGGTGTTCCCGTTCCATATGCTCCGCGTCGTCGCCTGACTGAGTTCCTGGGTCCACCTCTGGCTCCTTTGAAGGAGAGGCCGACGACATGATTTTTACGTCTTTTGGGTACGCGCCCCGGATAGCAACTTTGACACAGACGGTTGAACACGTCACTCCCTTTTGGAACCTTGGGATCTGCCGGTCCTATGCAGCCCTGCGTCAACGTACGTCAGACTGGGCAGCTATTCGCTTCACAACAGCCCTGGGAGGAAAACCTAAAGAAACATGGATGTGGGGGGAGGGGGAGGGTGAAGGCATTCGAGTGGCTACGCGTTTTTCTCTTCCTTTTTCATTTTATCTTGCCGGGGACCTACTGGGTTGATGCTCTAGAGCTGGCCCTCTATTGCATGTACCGGGACGGCTATATTTCTCTCAAACGCGCTGTGGACGGGCACTGAACAGCAACCCTTTCTTGATGGGCTAGTGATTCAATCGGGTTATGGCCTGGGGACGAACGATAACATCTAAAACTAAACGGGTTGGGCGGTGACGGGTGGAGGAATGCGGGTCAATTGACTAGGATAAGGCCACTGGTGATTTGGGGTTGGGCCGATAGTATGGATATCGGCTGCAGCAGCGGAGTTACGCGTTGTGCGACGGTTTGTTGTGGTGCTTCTAATTTATAAACGAGCTGGTTATAAAAGTGTCAAAAGTGCTTCAATAAGACGAAAGACTGCTCGAGGGTTATACAGCTTCTGTCAGGGTGGTGTGGCAACATCAATTGGCCGATTCAACGGATGGGCTTCTTTGGTCAATGCGAACAGGTTTATTCACAGACAGTAAATGATAGGCAGTGATAGTGTCACCCGCGCGTGTCTCTTCTCTGATCCTTTTATTTGCTTTTTTTCCGTTTTGCTTGCTCTATCTCTTCTACTCTCTCCCTCTTTGCCGCTGTATCCGCCTGTCTGTCTAGCTTGCGGTGAGACGCGCACCTGCTGCCCTTCAAACAGTGGATAACCTTGGAGCTGGTAAATCTGGGGAGGTCTTACCTGTAAAGCACACAAAGACAAGCCCAAAGAGATTCGATGGCGAGAAGATGTGGCTGTGGCTGTGACTGTGACTGTGATGGAGATGCAGCCGTGAAGGAAATGAATCGTTGGATGTTCAAAAGATGCATTTATTTTGGCTGCAGTAGGAGCAAGAGAAGGCGCATGGGTAACGTCATTTCAATACGGTAACTCTGGCTGGCTGCCAGATCCCGATAATTACGTTGGGGTCTTGTAACTTGAATACGTGTAAGCGCAGAAAAAGCAAACGCGGCGCTTATTTTTATTATTTTACTTGTGGACAAATCAATGCGGTTGTTGTGGGTGTTGATGGGAGCGCATTTTTCCGCTCAAGGTTCCTACGCAGCTCTGCATGGAAGCTTTGCGATCCCCAGATGCAGCAAATGGCCGATAATTCGCTGCTGTGTTTGGTTTGCGGAGCTGCCGCCTCTCCTCGAATCATCGTGGGTCTACAGTAGACTACATGGGATAGGGCATGTCATCAAACACAGCAATTGGATGAGATTTGCTGGTAAAGGTTCCCGTCGAGCCAGTCAAAACACGCCAATCCTCGTCAGTTCCATTAAACCCATCTGTTAGCTGAGGCAATTCTAGTTTCCAAAGTGTCGAAATGATTCTTGAAACCCCATGAAAACATCGTCATCGCTGGTGTTTCGGTTGCATTTCTCTAAAACAACGCATGAGAAAGTTCATCACCGAAACCGGACTCGGCCTTTTCAGCTGAGCAGTCTCTAAAAGACTAATAATAAGATGAAGTTATTTCACCAGCGCTATCTTTTGAAACTGCCCGGTGCCCATAAGTGGCCCCATTTTTCATCATCAATAATTGATTAACTAGAACAAGCTCTTGCTGGGGTCACATCTGGGACGTGCCCAACCTGCTCACTTCTGCAAGGTGAAATCGCTTGGATACTTCCAAGTTCTGGCACAATCATCGAATGCATGGTGAATCCTCAACTGGCCTTGCATTGGCGTGTGGCTTTCACCACCTTTTCCCTAAATAACTTCCGTTCTCAAATACCCCTGCCCCCGCTCCCCAAATAGAAGAATTCCGAAAAAAAAAAAAAAAAAAAAAAAAAAAAAAAAAAAAATTCCTCTCACCCCGCTTCCACTCATGCCGCAACGCACTTGGAATATCAAATAAACAATTGGGACAAACGCCCCTCCCTCCCAATCTCAGAACTCCCGACTTTAACGGCACAGGAGTAAAAAGCGGCTAATGACAGGGAAAACTTCTCAGCAGGCCGCAGGAAGTGGTCGGATGCCCTGCCAAGATGCCAGCCAATTAATGAGCTCTTGACGTATTATCCATGCTGATGGATTATCCTGTCCAGCGCGTGGGCAGGAAACCTCACGCACCCATCGGTACCCAACGAGAGGCTGGGAAAACTGCAAAGACTCACCAACGCATGCATGATTATTGGGCACCTTATTTTGGGGGCTAGAATAAATCTCCTTAAGTCAGAAATTCCTTGGCTGCGGGGAATGTGAGTGGGTAAACGATGCCAACACAGAAGATGGACGAACTATGGAAGCGTCCTGACCTTCTTTTGTACGCATATTGTTGCACAGAAAACACATTGACTCTAGATGATAAACTATCTTGGCAGTTGACACGAAATGCATTCTGCAAACGGATGATTGTATGCAGAAGTCTCTAAATGTCAAAAATCATCTCCTCTGACTTGTTCACCGACTTTGATAGACGTATTTTTCCCTCGTGACCATTCCAGCACCCCAATACGTTGAAAATTAACCGGACGCCAGCAGTGTTTAGGAGAACAGTTCCTGCATGAAGACACAAAGTAAATAAATCTCATTACCCAACTACCTCGTCGATATATATATATATATATGGTTATCTCAGTATGGAACCTTCATGCTAATTGATCTCATTCGCCATACCTCCCCATTCCCAGGCTTTTCCATTTTCAACATGATTAACACAGAATCATAAGTTAGGCACGCTTGCATGCCCCTAGTTTCCCAAGAGAATTGGATGCTCGGCCGACACCTGCTCTTTGAGAATTCTAACAGTAAAAGACGTAAAAGATGAGAAATAAGAAAGAGGATTGATCTGTGAAAAAAAAAAAAAAAAAAAAAAAAAAAAAAAAAAAAAGAGTGAACTATAAAAAGAAACAATCTCAATATTAGACCTTAAGCTGAATTGATAATTCTCTCCTGTATGTACTGTGCTATATAGACTACTGATAATGCTGGAATTACAACTAAAATATTTTCAAGAATAGAAATATAAGTATGCATATGATTTAATTAAATTTTATAACTTAACATTACAGACCTACACAGAAATGTGCAGACCACGGCACAGGGGACAACAGCGCAAGCCAGCACCCCGAACCGATGGAATGAGCATTTCCTATAAAAATTTTTATGCACAACTCAGCAAAACGGCGTATCCCTTCATGCCCTCTCCCAAAGGGAGTCAGGATATGTGCAATACCAGCATAACTGAAGATCAGCGATGATGATATCCCGTTGTTGTCCATCCCGCCGTAAAGCTGAGTTGGGCCAGTTTTCGCCTCACCGTGATAGGTGCGAGTAGGGCGTCCTGCCGCAAAAATCCTAACTGGGTCCGATGCTTCTGCTGGTGCTGATGCTTCTGCTGTTTCTGCCTCTGCTTCTGCCGACAATAATGCCGTGATGATCCATATTGGTGGTGATGCTAGGGGAATTGAATAACCTCTAACTCAGCGACGGCCATGAATAGTGTAATCTCCCTTCTCGAAAGCACCCTCTCTCCCCCCCCCGCGCAATCCCTAACCCCATATAGCGTGGAATCCCACGCCCTCCATTTCCCTTCCTCCCCTCCCAATAAAAAGATACACCAGCAAACCCCACGCCCCTATTCCCGCACGACCTGAATATTATTCTTCTTCTGCAAGCCCACAACAGAGCACGAGTCAGCCTTCATTCATTCCAAGGTTCTCTTCGCTCCGCACACCCATCATGAACCCCAACCACCACCACCACCACCACCTCCTCCTCCTCCTCCTCCTCCTCCTCCACAACCAAACAGTTCAATACTAACCTTCCAACTATCCATCTCATCCTGCTTAGCTTTATACTGCTTCAGCAACTCATCCAGCACCTGCTTCAGTCCGTCCGAGTTCGTCTTGAGAGATGGTATTACATCCCTAACCGTGCGCTCGACGAGCACGCCATTAATCATGCGGAAGCATTTGCGATCGCCGGGTAGAGGTTGGAGGCTGTCAATGACGAGTCTGGAGGGAGGAATATAGATATTCGTGTGAGAGGTTTAGGTCCTATGATGGTTCTTGCGGTTGGTGTGGGGGGTTGAGAGGGGATTGAGAGGAGAGTTGGGGTTGGGAAGATTGGTGGGATGTGAGGCAGAAGGCATGGGCTGTAAAAGGGGAAAAAAAGGTGACGAGAAGGGGTGGGAAACCGACTTGTGCTCTTCTGTCTCCTGTTCGATATCACCGATCTTCTGCGCGAGTTGTTGAAGGGTGGTTTTGAAGTTTTGATATTGGGCTTGTAGCTCTGTGTGATAAATCATATGTGGTTGGTTAGTTAAGAATTGAACGGATATTTTCTTTTCTGTCTCGAGAAATCAGGAATTAAATGGAGGAAGATATAACGCCTTTATTTACCTTGCTGCCTCTTCGGGTTTATTTGTGTCGCCATGGCTAAAGGTGGAGAGAGATTGTTGGTTATTTGCAGGATCCTTGTGTTTTTTTTTTTTTGGTGCAAGGTTGCTGTTGAAGCGAGCGCTCAACCTTAAAATCGGGGTAATGTCCGCGAACTGCGATTCAGCATTTGGGAGCCTCGTCTCCTGAGAAATATTCGAACACCATAAATATTTAATTTACATATCGCATATCGCCTATGATTTGGTCTAGCAATATACATCTGGCAAATAATAATATGTCTATAATGAAGAAAAGAAAGGCCCGTCCCAAAATCAAAGCCCTCCTTAGAAAATACGTAAATATTCTTCTATCCGCTATCGCACACCTCGCAGTTGATATCCGTCATTGGCGAGGTGCTAGACCTCCCAACTGCGTTCTGCAAGCGGGAATAAAACTAAAAGACCAAACTAGGTCCCATGTGAAGCAGTTAGCAGTTGAATCTCACGGTGACCAGAGGACAAAGGTCATGCTTCACATAGAAGAACGGCCGGTGCACTAAGTTTTCCAGATTAATGGCCAGCAGAACTGTAGAATGATATATATCGCGGGCTACACCCAACTTATCCCACATATTCCTCCATTGTATCCGGAGACCTAAGCACGACCACAATCACGTCGACATAGCCTAAAATGCCAACTCCTTGTTGACCAAATGCGTTTGATCCCATTCCCAAGCGGGAAACAACCCAGGATCGATATCAGGAAATACACCCACTCCGGAAAGGTTTTAGGTTGTTTCGCATATTACACTTCGCTATTGTCGGGATGATTGAAGCTATTTTTTATTTTTTTGTGCTTTCCTTCTAACCCCGCGACGGAGCTGGTCAGGAGTAAAATCGGGGAGAATGGAAACACCACATGCTCCATTCACACACACACACACACGCAAGATGTACATTCTATTGGAAAACGGTGATCTGAGCCCTTCTTCCCTTCTTCCTTTCCTGGACAAAGGAACCCTAGAAGGGAAAAGAAGTGATAAATAAGAAAAGCTCGTGGATACACACAGAGACTTACGTATTCGTCACACACACACACACACACACACACACACAAAACACCCTTTACAAAGGCTGCATCCAAGCCGTATTCTGGAAATAATCCGACATGCCCGGCTCATGCAGATACAACTCACGCCACTCGTCCTCCATATCAGTCAGGTCCTCCATGACAATTGGCCTGACCTGTTCGGAGTCACCGAATGAGAAGAGCTGTCTCCAATCCGACTGGCCACTGGGCTCATTTTGGCGGTTTTCCGGTTCCAAATGGTCAACTGCATATTGTTGCTGTTGTTGCTGTTGCTGGTTGTAATTGTGGTTGTGGACTGGCCCAGTCAACCATGGCTTGGCACGGTCTTCGAACTGCGGCCCTCCACTGAACCAAATGCTATGATGTGACGGGGTTGGTTGGTCTGACACTGGTGGTGTGGTTTGATCCGTGTACTTTCGTTGGTGGTGATCCCCCTCTCTCGATTTATAGGTTGAATCCCTTGTCTTGACGTCTTCGATGTCACGCTGCAGGCGCTTGGAGCTTTCGAAAATCCGCAGGATGGTTTCAGCTTCCAGCCAGTATTCCGCGTGGATACGAAGCGAGGTTAGGATTGAGTCGAATCGGCGAAGACCATTGATGGCCAGGACAGGGTTTGAGAATCTCAGTTCCACTCGCACCTGGATCATCGCTGTGAAGAGTGCGTTGACTGAGGATATCCACAAATATTTGAGCCTGTCCTTTTCTCTAAGATCTTCAAAGATGGAGACAATGACACCAGCCGCTGCGCTGCATATCTCAGCATCGTTGGGGCCGTAGTCATCCGAATAAGCGGAGGCTCGAGGATGTGGGCGGTGAAGTAAAATCAGGAAATTATTATAAGTCAGATGGAGCAACGCAGGCCACGAGCCGGAATCTGCTGTAGACATCCGAACTGAATCAGGGAGCATAAGTGACCAATTCGCAAGGGCTCTATCTGCTTCGCTAAGCACAGCTTTTCGCCTTTCGGGACTAACCCGCAAACCGAATCTTTCCTTCATAATGAATGAAATCAAAGTGCAAAGTTTGGTATAATGTATGACGTAATCGATCTGAACTCCGCGCCCACACCCTTCAAAATCAGCCGCAGTAAGGTCCTGCACGTCAGAATCCTCTAAGTTGCTATATATTAGGTTTCTCATTCGTCAGCGAACTTACAAATGTCGAAATTCTGGCGGGTGGGACTGAGTACTCACACAGCCTGTGGCCTCCCATATAACAAAGATACCATGACGTCGAACTGAACTAATATCCACCAGACCCTCCGCCACATACGCTTATCAGCCGATACCATTCTGCTAGAAGCTGCGTTGCGATGCATCCCAAGACCAGTTGCGATTCTCGCCGCGACGCCCACCCAGTAGTGTGAATTTGCAGCAACATCGTCATCAACCGGGTCTGAGTACCATGTGAGAAGTAGGGCTGCTTGTACAAGGATATCTCTGTTTCGCTCGACTCGCGCATCAAATAATATTTTTGCCCGACGGAAGAAGGATGCCTTGAGCGAATCGCGTAGAGGGCGGGGATATGAGACATGGGCTCCGACAAGGAGAATTGCTTGGAGGATCAACAGTGAAGTGGGATCAGCAGGATCTCGGCCTCTATACTGTGCCATGAATACGTCCTCTTCGATTATAGGACAGCCGGGGTTGACGTGAGTGAAGTACGCCTCTACCAACTCATCTGCGAGCTGCTGTTCGGGGAGGACGAAAGCCTCTCCGGGAATTTGCTCTAATCTATTTTTCACGCAGTGCTTTGAAATCTCATTGGCGGGGAAATGGTAGACCTCGTCATTTCGGTCGCCGTGCTGTTGCCGAAATAAGAAATTCATGTTCGAAACGTCCTGCCCAACGTATATTACCCGGACATTCTTTTGAATTGAGCGATGATGGTCTTCCTCGTCCAGGATCTGAATGAGGTGTCGTTCGAGTCGACGAGTGTCATCCTCATCGCCCAATGAATCTGGGGATATCGCTTCTGCAAAAGATTGCGGGGCAAGGGGCTCCGTTTTGGGTCCACTTTGTCTTGTTGACAAAGCGATCGGTGAGGATGGGGACGAGGCAGAAAGGGAGGGGTTGCTCAGAGGAGGATTCGAGAATCCAATTGCACCGGCACCATTTGCAGGAGGCAAGGGAGCGCACCGAATGGGAATTGGATGGCGAAGGGAGTGGGAAAGTGTACGTTTCTTTTTCTCATGGATTCGACAATCGCTTTTGCCGGAGGAGCGACAGTTGGAACAAGGTATGCCAACGTTCCGCGCATCGCAGCGCACTTTCCTTTGATGGCAATGAACGCAAGCGGCCGGACCTATGAAGCTGTAAGAAAAATGCACAACATAATCGCGCGAGGGAGAACAAAAAAAATATTCCAGGGATTGTGGATCACCGAGCAGGGAACATACGCTTTCGCTTCAGGGGCCCGTCAGGTGCCGCTTGGGGGTTGTCGTCGTTGGAAGACATGAGAGAACACGCACGAGGGGGCAATACATGTTCCAGTGAATTTATAATGCTCCCAGAATTGTGTGTTCAATGGGCTATTCCGTCGTGCCTGGACATTGTGGAGGGAGAAAGAAAGGGAAAACACAGCGGAAACACAAATTACTTACTCCACATTATCGATTTGCGGGTTTTCAGGGTTGGCCGGGTGCTGCAAGCTCACGTGAAAGCTGATAAGATTTCCAGAGCCCCCCATTTTTTGGGGGCAACTAACTCTGGAGCTTATGTAGCCCGGCATTACTAAAATCCGCTGCAATTATTAATCGAAGCGAAGATGCGATGAGGAACAAACAAATAATAAATCATGATTATGATGATATCTGGGGCATCAGCAATTTGAGAACCCTATCCATGGATATCTCCAGTTGTATATGTATGCACAGAAGGGCACATGCATTGCCGGGTTGAGGACTCGAGCTTGTTGATTTTCATTCGTAACCAGAGTACAGGTCGAATGGTTCCGGATCTTGCGTGTCTGTCTGTCATTGAACCAAACCAAAGCTGTAAACGGTTCCTGGAGCTTAAATATGAACTCGTTCTGTCAAATGGAAATTTTTGCCTTGTGGAATGCAGCGCTTGTTGGGGCAATCAAAACGTTCTATCCCCGGTTAGTTCTCTAATAAATTTTATTTCATTCAAGAAGCCAACAAACATCCCCTCGGCAGGTTCCTAACTTTGGTAACTACTTGTTGCTTCGCTCTCATGGGAATATGAGGCTACCACCAAAATGCCCCTGCGTTAAAGCCCAAGCAAAAAAAAAATAAAAAATAAAAATAAATAAATAAATAAATAAATAAAAATAAAAAAAACTGAAGCGCCGCAAATTGCCACCTCTAGCCTTATCGAAGCGCACTTATAAATTCTCCCCGCGTGGTCGTTTTGAATCAGACTCATGGCCATCTTCTCGTGTTGAGAGCTTAATTGCTTCACCATCCCAAACATCCAAGGTTCGCGGGGGTCTTTCTGATCATGGCCCTGTTGCAATCGAGTGTATGGCACCCACCGAGTCATCGATGTATAATAACAACTTACCACCGACCCCCCACTCAGCAAAGCCCAAAGTGTGGGGTAGATTGAATCTCCTCATCTCCTACATAAACACCCTGGACTACCATGCCTAGCCCATGCGTGGCATGCAGCCGCGCCGGGACATCCTGGACACATCGCATCTGGTGATCAAGATAAAATCCTAGTTACTTTCGCGGGGCACTACAACGAACGGGCAAAAGTGTGCTCAATTACAGATCATGAAACTACGTGAGGCAAGGCACCATTAAATGAGTCGAGAGTTGAGAGAGGAAGGACGAGATGGGGAATGAGAGGAAGAAAAGTAGGTGAAATGATAGGTAAAAAAGGAGAAGAGAGACTGGCAATTTCAGGTTTTGACTGCTCTTCCAACCCAGCATTATCCAGACGCAAGAATGATATCCCTGCTCAACGGCCCCGGTATATGAAAATGGTGTGGCCCAGATATGCATCATCACGTTGAAACGTCCCTGGTCCCTTTTCTCCTCGAATGGGGCTTCTGGAACTATTATTAATGGAAACCCTTTTTGATGTATATGACCAACTCACTAGTTAACTATCTTCTATGCTCCAGAACGGGTTGATGATGTAAAGAGATTGACGGTCACATTGACAAGACAAACAGAACCCTGCTTGATGCTTGCTTGTTTTTTTTTTTTTTTTTTTTTTTGATTTAGTTTCGGCTTTCGCATTCTTCGTATCTCGGGAGCAATGCAATCTAGTGCTGTAGATTAACCATTGTGATATCCTGAAGTCATAGGTGAATTCCGAGGAGCGGAGCAATAATTGTTTAGCAGGCCAATGTACGCAGGGGCCCTTCGGTGCGGGTAGTTCTGGGGGTCTCTTCGATTTCCATTGACCTGCTTTCCATCTAGCCTTGCTAGTTAGAGCAATCTGGACACGCTGGAATAGGCAGTTCGGGAGCAAATGGGAAAAGCCAATGCACATGTCGCACGGGACAAACCATGAAGTGCGGAAACAAATCTTCTGGGATGGTTGGGGTTGGCTATTTGGGTTTTCGTCGGCGGTTGGGAACTTTGACTCGAGTCACCCGTTGGTAGGGTGGGCCAGTAAAATGGTTGGATGGTCGGCTGCTTGAATCGGGGCAAACCCTATCTCTGTCAACAACTAATTATTACCTGGCTGCTGCCGACAAGACTTTTGCCCCCTCCTCACCCGCCCCCCCCCCCCACACTATGTTTTCTTAGTCGGGCAACGCTTCTCTCTCTTCGCTCTGTAGTTCCATCGCCTTCACAACATTTGACCGTCCGCGGGCAGTATTTATCTGGTAAACTGCCCGTGAGCTGTATGCCACGTAGAAGTTTCTTCTTCATACAAAAACTTGTCAGAGGGCGCGACCAAGGAGTTAACTAGTTAACAGGATTAAGAAAGAAAAAGAAAAGAAAAGAAAAGAAAAGAAAAGAAAAAAAAAAAACCATTCGTATAACCGTTCATCCGTTCCGACGGCTGTCCGAACCGCCGCCAGCTCACCTCCGAATATTCCGGCGTATTTTTAACCGCACCCTTCTTCCCCCGAGTCCCTGACTCATAGCAAATGAGAATCCCCCCTGGGTGCTATTCCGGCATATATAATCAGCGTTTGCTTATCTCATCTGATAAGATAACTGGTTGGTTAAGTGGTTGATGTTTATTTGAAAAGGAAAACTTGGGACAAGAAAAACTCATTCGACTCACAGGCAATTCCTACATCAGTCGCTTAATCTAGAATCCCAAAAAAGGGTCATGTCTCCTCCGGGCGCAGTTGATCCTCAGATCATCAACAATGCAGATCCGCCGGAGCCATTGACGGTTGCTGATGTGCCAGCCCGGCGTGCCAAAACCAAGGTGCCCACCGGCGTTGCAGCAAATTCAGAGAGTGATATGTTCAAGAGCGCTGTAAATTTTTATCTTTTCTTTTTCCCTTTCTTTCTTTTCCCTTTTTCCCTACGGATAGTCTGGAAATGGACATAATAATCTTCAGGAGAAAGTTTAAGGGAAACGGGCAAATATTGACCACCCTTTTTAGGCCTGTTTCACTAAACCAAAAGCAAAACGCTTCGAACGTGAGTCCTACATCTCCATGTATTGACAACGCTTTCGTGGTTCAATATATATATATTTGTTGGATTAACATGGTGCTGTTTCTCGCCTGCAGACTTGCTATCCGCTGAAAGCAAATCTCGAAAGGTAAATTTAAAAGATAGTTATATTTCTAACGTTTATCCCCTTTTCCCAATTGTGAAATCTAACTAACCCTGCATGGATAGGGCTCGTCATTGAAACAGGCTGCTAAATACCTTGATAAGCCTGGTACGTCCTGGGAGAGCCGCTGTGCTTGCTCTTTTGCGGCATTATCTCCCAATCTCCCCTGATGTTGAGTATCGGATCAATGTTAAATATCCAATTAGGCCTTATTTCCTTGGGCGGAGGACTTCCATCGTGCGAATATTTCCCGTTTGAGTCCATCTCCATTAAAATTCCAACCCCACCGCATTTCTCCGAAGAAGAAACGGTAAAGACGGGAACAGTTGTGACGTCTGCAAAGTATGATATAAGGAATGGAAAGAGTGACTTAGGTTTGTTTGCTGCCATGTCCCTCGATAAGGCCGTTCGCTCACTGAACCTCTTTCTTTAGATCTGGAGATTTCTCTAAATTATGGTCAGTCAAATGGTGCGGCGCCAATGATGCGTTTCGTCACCGAGCATACTGAGGTAAATTCCAGCTGATATGGAAAAAAAAGAAACTACCGTTCAGCTCGTTGAGCATGACACAGAGAATCAGAGAAACAAAATATCTAAGTACAAAGGTAGATCGTCCACAACCCTCCATACTCCGACTGGCAGTGCAGCTTGACAGCTGGAAGCACCTCCTCCTGGGACATGGCATTGCGCATGTTCTGCGAGCGGGGTGACTACATCCTCGCAGAAGAGTACACCTTTGCCACTGCACTGGAAGCCGCATCTGCCCTGGGTGTGCGTGCCGCTGCCGTTAAGATGGATGACCAGGGCATGCTCCCGGAGTCTCTGGACGAGGTAATGACCAACTGGGATGCAGCAGCAAGGGGCGCCCGCAAACCCCATCTCCTCTACATAGTCCCCTCAGGCCAGAACCCGACAGGCACCACGCATGGGCCCGAGAGGAGAAAGGAGATCTACAAGGTTGCGCAGAAGCATGATATTTTCATCGTGGAGGATGAGCCGTATTATTTCCTGCAGATGCAGCCTTATAAGGGTGTTGACACGCCGCCTGATGCACCGCCGGCGTCGTATGAGGCGTTCATTAAGTCGCTCATCCCTTCTTATCTTAGCATTGATGTTGATGGGCGCGTGTTGCGATTGGAGTCCTTTTCCAAGGTCATCTCGCCTGGCTCGCGGATGGGCTGGATCGTCGGCACGGCGGAGATTGTGGAGCGGTATACGAGGCATTCCGAGGTTTCCACGCAGAATCCCAGTGGCATGTCGCAGATTATCCTGTTCAAGCTCCTGGATGAGAGCTGGGGACATGCGGGGTATTTTGATTGGCTGATCAATTTGCGAATGGAGTACACTGCGCGGAGGAACACCATGCTGGATGCTTGCGAGAAGTATCTTCCGAAATCCATCGCTAGTTGGAATCCACCTGCTGCTGGGATGTTTGTACGTTTGAACCACTCCCCTCCCCCTAGTTAACTGTCCTCCTATCTGTGTGAAATGTGTGGAATGCTGGGGAGCGGATCAAAAAACAAAACTAGTGTCCTAACCTTCCTTTTTGCATATAGCACTGGATCAAAGTCGACTGGAAAAGGCACCCAGGAGTCCGCGAAGGCAAAGACCACGCCGCTATCGAAAACGCGATTTTCAAAGCCACCATTGAAGAAGGTGCGCTTGTGTCCGCTGGCAGTTGGTTTGTGGCAGACAGTTCCATTCCACAGACGGACATGTTCTTCAGAGCCACATATGCCGCAGCCCCGGGCGATAAGATCGAAGAAGCCATTCGAAGGATTGGTGTGGCGCTGAGATCTGAGTTTAAGTTGGATTGAAAATTCTTTCTTTCCAATATGGTCTGAGTGGTGGATTTAAGGAGGTGATATCTTGTGTTTTCCTCGAAGCAGTGAGTAGAGAAGTGGTTGTGTTGCTTTATTCTATATTTTTTGACTCGGTTTTTGTGCATAGTTATTCAGAAATATTTACTAGAATTCCTTTAAATCGACTCATGACATAGTATACGCTTCGCATAGGGCTAATATACATCCTATAATTTGACTTGCATGGATATTGAATTAAAAATATTGCTTTTTGAGACATAGCTGACCGTGCCCCAATGTTTCACTGGAATGAATATTGAACAGTTGAGAATGCTCGTTCTTCTTTCATTGCAGTCCCACTTAAGCACATACCATATATCTTTCTCAATCATGTACAAAGCAACAAAGGGTGATAATTTTTTATCCACGCAATTTCGATTTCCAATTTCAACTAATATATTAAACTGAGATTGGCTCCATGGAAGTTTTCACATAAAGAGTTCTAGATAAAACAACTCAACCTTGACCTTCCCTCTTCCCACCCCCCGTCTTCCGAAAAGCATTAATACCACAGACACAAATTTTTAATATAACAATACAAAACTCGACTCCCCAAAACCAACAAAACCACATCCACACTACAAACCAACAAACATAATAATACCCCTCCATCACCTCCAACACAACAACTCTTCCCCCTCACTTCCCTTCCCCAGTCGTATCCCTCACAGTCCCACCCAACCCCTTTGTCGTCTGGCCAACCCCCTGCGTCACATCGCCAAGCGTATTTCCGACACCTTTCCCAGCAGCCCCGACCGTATCTCCGACTGTGCCGAGCGTGCCACCCACGAGCCCGCCGGCGGTTTTCGTCACGCCGCTGAGAAGGCCGCCGCTGTTGGCAGGTTGGGCTTGGACTTGAGGTTGTGTTTGGCCCTGTGGTTGTTGGACTTGGCCTTGGGATTGTGGGTAGACTTCGGTTTGGTTGAAGGATGGGATGTGATCGGCCATTTTTTGATTTGTAAGGTTGAGAATTGGATGTGCAGTCTTATTGTTTTATTGTTGGAGTGGAGGAATTTGTGTTTGTTTGATATTCTCGAGGGGTATATTTGTAGGAGAGGAATTTATTCTTTAGTTTCACAAAATTAAAACAGCTGAAGGAAGGAATTGGGGGTTTGAGTTGAGCGCTGGCTGCCATTTTATAATTCAGCATGAAGTTATTCAGTTAACCTCTAGTTCCATGTCATCTGCAGGCTGCAGGTAGCAATTGATGTCATTTAGTAGGGCACTAATTCCTGTTTTCATTTTTCATCTATCCATCGTGGTAATGGATAGAACTGATGGAGATGGGCATCTCCCTGTCGTTGGGCCCTTTTTCCATTCATGGTCCGTTGTACTGTGCTCCATAGTTCTGAGAATTCTTGGACAGATGACGTTGAAGGCTTCGAAGGCTGAGTTATGTCAGGGCAGCTTGGCCAGCTAACCAAGTCCGGGTAATTTCCCCGAGCCTTTTGGGGAACGATGAAAACGTATTTCCGAGCTTTGAAAGTCACTGATTAACTTTGCCGCCGGGCTGTTTCAACGGCGTATTTTACTATAGAGAAGAGAGGATAAGTTCGTTGTTTCCGGGGGAGTTTGGAAATGACGGGACTGGCAGTTCCATTTTCTCATTCCTTTTCGTCAGGTTCCTTTTCCGATTTTCATTTTCTAGAAGGCAACTAGGTGGAAGGGAAGCGAAGTTTTGCCGTTTTGATTTTGTCTCTGTTTGCTCATTTATCACCCATTTTTTCCAGAGTCACCTAGTTAGGTATAAAGTATCATGGAGAGTTGCCTTCAATGGTCTAGAGCCATCCAGATCGGGTGTGGCACGATATCGCTGCTTGTTCGACTATATAAACCCCTTTCCTCCCGCCGCTCAAACAGCTCCCTTCATTGTCCCGAGTTTCCATTTCATTCCTCACAATTTCTCCTCTTGTGGTGTGCAGCGTGTCCCTTCCCCTTTGACGCCACCGTCAGCGTCATGCCGGACCGGCTGTGCCGCAGTTGAAATGGTTGTCAACCTGGCAACTCTGTCCACTTCCCCTCCACGATGCAATTTCGATTCACTCTAAGTCCAATTACCCTAAAATATGCACAGACTGAGCTCCCTGCTGGGGTATCTGGTCTGCAAGGGGCTGTGGCTGGCTGAGGTTTTCCCATCACTTTGTTGATCTTCTTTTCCCATTGGATACACGACCAGCTATTTCTTTATATCCTATGCCAATATGATATATATATATATATATATATATATATATATATTTAGCACGATAGAAATGGTATTTGTCTTGCTGCGCCACGGCCGTCAGGCCCTGACCAGAGTGCAAGGTCTGGTAAGCTTGGTTCGGGGGATATGACCTCTGTGAGAGGTCCCCAGGTACACCTGAAGTGGAACGCATTAAGGGGCGCGAGCTCACTATGAATCAAGACCCTGCAGCAAAGTGGTGATTTGCAGCACCATATAGGAAGCAGTAAGGATTTCCGGCATTCATCATCTGTTACATACATGGCTGACCTGGAACTTGCGATCCTACCGAAAGAAGTTGAACCGTCTTGTCGTTGTTCATGGCGGAAGGGGACAGGGACCAGCGTTCATTGGCCTCACGTTGCCGGCTCGTAGATTGGCAACGCCTTTCGAGAATTAAATATGTTCTCAGTCCAGAACCCAGAGGTATGGAGATATCGAAACGCAATGGTATGAGAAAAGAAAGGCCCATCATCATCGTTTGTGTGCCTCAGTCTCTTAGCAACTAAGTCCATCACACGTGGAAATTGATAAAAATACCACACCTTCCTGCCTCTCAAGGGAAGACTCAAGGGCAGCTCTGGCGGACAAATGATTTATTTCACAATTTTTTATGGACTGAAGACTTGTCGTAGCAGAACATGCTAAGATTGCGGGAGACTTCTTCAGCGTACATGTTGGCGTGGGGTATTGATTAGACGGATCGCAGGGGAATATCAGTGTTTGCACAGTGTAAAGAAGGAAAGCATCCCTCGTCTGTCTTGTGCAAAGTAGCACCTCCACCAGCGGGTGTGTTGAGTGATAACCAGTGGTAAGCCTGGAGTGCGAATGTACAAGCTAGAAAAAGAGACGCTACTTGCACGAGTTGACGGAAGAGGGAGGGATAATATTCTCTATTCTCTACAGCTACGTCCAGTACATCCGTTGAGATACATGTAAATAAAACCAAGCTGTTGAATTCCATAACTATTTGAAGAACGATCCCGAACAACCTTGACTGGGGGGGGGGGGGGGGAGGGCGCGTGTTGAGGATCACGTGGATGGAAATTTAGGCTCAAAACAGCGTTTGAAACAAGAGACGAAGACGGTTTGGTTCTTCTGCCCAACTTCACTTCTATCTCCATCTCCCAACTCCCCTCTGGTAAGTCGACATATCTCATAGTTTGACATTGAGAAGCGGCAAAATTCACCCCGCCTGTTGGCTTTGAATAAAATTTGCGCTATATATCCCTAGGTACACCTCTTTTCGACGAAGTCTGGGACTCTGCTTAAAATTGAAACCTTACCCCCCCTGGCGCCTCTGCCTGTTTTTCTGGAGACATTTTGCCCATAAAACTTGATATGGATGTTGGGCCGCTCAACATACCTTTTTTTTTTTTTCCCTCTTATTCTCATATGCGTCTATTTCCATTTCAATGGTGGTTTTGTCATTGCAGCACTGACTGACACCCTTGGTGTTAGCAGATTTCCCATTCTCCTTTGTATGGGCACAATACAGGGACGCGGTCACACTCTCTCATGGCTTCGCTTTGTCTTGCCCTCCAGAACTGAGACTCCCCATTGGCAAGTGTTGCTGCTGAGGATTGAGGACTTCTTCTTGTTCTTCCTCTCCTTAGTACCCATCAACCTGGGAGTGCGATTGCACCAGGTTGTCCTGTAGTACTAGATACTCAGACAAAGATTCACCTGTGATTAAAGTAACATCCCTCCCTCCCGCAGTCACAGTCTGCTGCAGTCAAACTCTCCCTCTGTCGACAGATAAATTGCTGTTCTTCCTCCCTTACATAAGGTCAGCGCCGAGCACTGCACTAGCCCTCTTGTGTTCGGCGACGACTAAGCGCTGTGCAGTGCCCTACAGACACCACCCCATCAATCTGGGGTCCTGTTCTAGGTATCTCTCCTGTTCCCTCAATCCCCTGGGATTGCTCCAAGGGCTCTTGGATGCCTGCCTTGTAGAAGAATTGGATTAACCGTCGTAGGGATCGCTTCAGAAAAACGCAGAATAACAGCGTTCACCACCCGTCCGCCTGCCACTCTTCCAGTGGAGGTTCTGCAGGGGGTTGTCTTTCGAAGGCTGTCAGTATCGTGACCCGGGAGAGGTACCTGCATCCCCATCTTGGCGGATATATCACGTCGTCCTCGACTAGGCAAGAGGTCACCACCCGCTTCCTCCGTAAGTAGATTCATCTCCTTTTCGCCCTCCTCGCACTTTTTTATCATCAACATCACCTCCTCCTTGATCCTTCTCAAGCACTCATCAAAGCCCTCTGCTTGGCCATTCATCCTTGGTTTCATCATCCATCCACCACCCTCTCTTCCCCCCATCTCCCCCCGTTTCCCACTTCTCATGTCACGTATCTCACTATCATGGCGTGCCACAACAGCCGTGCGCGGCGAAATGCTTTTTATCGGTTTGATTTGTCCTTTTTTTTTTTTTTTTTTGTGTCATTTTAGTCTATACCACTTGTGCGTTTCATGATGAAAACTGACGCTTTTTATTTCATGTAGCGATCAACCTCAGTGTGGGCGAAATCGCGAGCCCCATTGCGACCAGCTACAGGCCCGCGTAGGAAATACCTACTTTGTTCCTGACGCTGTCGAGGCCTCTTCCCCAGACGCCACTAGTGCTTATCAGGGACCCCTAAGGTCTTCACAGCAACAGCTTGGAGAGGCTTTTCCTCGTTCGACTTCTTACTCCTCAAATACTTGGGAAGACGCTAGCGTCGGAGAGCCTGAGCCTTTTGACAGAGAGCAGCGGAGAGCAAAAGCCCTTGACGAAGTTGAAGAACTTCCTTTTCCGAGATTTCCTGAAGAGTCTACCAAATTTGCCCCAAATCTTTGGCGAAGTGGACAAAGGTAGACGGAGTGCTTCCTTTATCTGCTTCAGGGGCTTTGATGATTGTAAACCAGCTGACTTATCTTCGAATCAAGGCCAGTAGAAACTAGTGAATCACTTGTTGAAGCCTTTCCGCCATTTGATCCAGCACCTGGTAGTTCAGGGTTTTACTACGAAGACGCACCCCATTTTGCTCAGCCGTCTCTTGATCCTGCTCCAACTTCACCATTTTCATACGGCCCCGCTGAATCACCGGTTGCTGAAGCTTTTCCACCACCTGATCCAGCGCCTAGCAGTTCAGGATTTTACTACGAAGACTCACCCTATTTCAATCAACCCTCCCCCGGGGCTGCTCCAACATCTTACTCTTCATACAGTCCCGTTGTCGCTAATAAAACACCCCACAGGCCTCCGCCAGCTTCAGATTCAAACCCGCTATCTAATTATTCCACAAATCTTCCCAGATCAAACACATTCTCTCCGCGCTCACCATTTTTATATAGCCACGCAGCTGTACTCCTCCAACCACCTTCTGATTTATCCCGGCCTTCTAACAAGCCTTTCTACGACCCATTCAATCAGCCCAAGGACGCTTATCAAAACTGCCTTGATACTCCGAACCCGCCCAAGCCATTTACTAGGAAACCATCGCTTGGTTTTCAATCCCCTCCCCATCCATTTGGTTCAAAGAATCAACCACTTAGGGCTCGGGGCAACACATTTGACGTAGAAAATCAACTATTCAGAGCCCGGGGCAACTCATTCGGCACAGAAAACCAACCCCCCAGGAACCCGTACAACAACCCTCCGCGTCCAAGGAGGCGTCCTATTTTAAATCCAACACGCGATCGTGCCAAAACCTTACCGAGAGCTCACGATTTCCAAACATTTGACAAGAGACACAATTTCAACCCTTTATATTTCTATCCGGGAAACGAACGTCGATATATAAATAACGATTCACAACTGAGTCCTTCAAAACCACTCCCTCCTCCACCTCCACACCGCCCACCGCCACGGCCACCGCTGCCACCCATTTTAGCTCCCCTCGTTCAAAGATTTCCCGAGGCGAATGTTTATGAACCCAAAGAGCTATCCGCAAATATATTAACCACATGGGCAGGCGAGCCTGCTGACTATAACGACCTTCTAAACTACTCCGTACGATATTCAAAGCTACCCTTCCAGTCAGCAGCCCCAATCAAAAGAAAGCCTAGAAGTATACGCATTGTCGAATCTCTGAAAAGAATTTTTTCTCCAAGACGAAAATCCAGCGTCACGGAATTTGCAGTTCCGCCAAAAATCCAGGTCGACGAATCTTGCCTCAGCGTACACAACAGGTGGATTGAAGGGGCGATCGACCATACGAACAAAATTTCTGAGAGGGAAACAAACGTACATCCCACCATGGCTTCGACGTATCTTGACCCTTCATCGGCTATGGTGACAATCACCAAGCAGAAGGCTGAGGCTATGAGATTGGCGAAGGAGCAAGGGGCCGCTGTGAAGGAAATGTGTAGGAGAGCGAAATCGGATATGCCTCCTTATGTATTCGAGGAGCTTATTGGGAAGGGAGCTTATGGGAGAGTGTACAAGGGGTTCGTCAGACCCAATTTTATGATTTTATTATTGATTTTATTCTATCTCCCTTTCTAGTTCGCCGTTATTACTAACTTGGTTTCATATTAGTCGCCAAATCCATTCACAGAAGGTCGTGGCCATCAAAGTGCTAGAAATTGATACGGTTGATTATAAGTCCGTGCGAGATATGAAGGACGAGTCGATCAAGGATTTCATCCATGAAACGAAAGTGATGAAGCAGGTCAAGGAAGCTGGAGCTAAAAATATCAATATGCTCATTGAAGCTTTTTCGATCCATTCTCAGCTGTGGCTGGTTTGCGAGTATTGTCCCGGCGGAAGTGTGAAGACTTTGGTATGATTTGATATCCCCTTTTTATTCTCTCTCTTCTGTGAATGAATTCCCACCTGCACCATGAGCGTATTTTCTTTTCTTTGCCCTTTTTTTCTTCCCCTGAAATCAGTTCATCCCTGGACTTGGTCTTCATTACTAACTGGATTATTAGATGCGAGCAATGGGCGATAAACTAGAAGAACGATTCATTATTCCAATTGCAAGAGAGCTCGCGGAAGGTCTCAAAGCCATCCACGACGCCGGCATTATCCATCGTGACATTAAAGGTTCGAGAATCCTTCCTCTATATGGCTTATATCTATGCAACACTGAACTAATTGTCACGTAGCGGCCAATGTCTTGATTCATGAGGAAGGCCGCTTGGAGATTTGTGACTTTGGAGTGGCTGGTGTTCTCCAGAGCAAGGTGGACAAACGTACAACATGGATTGGGACTCCGCATTGGATGCCCCCTGAGATGTTTCCCATGAGGGGAGGAGGTGAGATGCATCAATATGGAAGTGAGGTGGGTGTATTTTACGTGATATGCGTTACTTGCTTTATAGGATAAGGCTGACTCTAGTAGATTGATGTTTGGGCATACGGCTGTACCCTTTTCGAATGTGCTACGGGAAACCCACCCAATGCAACATTAAGAGAGAGGATGCAAATTGGACGTCAACTTAACAGATTCACACCGAGGTTAGAGGACGATAGCTTTACCGAAGGTTTACGCTCACTGGTATCATTTACACTGGATTCGGATCCTACAGTGCGCCCTACGATGGAAAAGATCCTCCAACATCACTACCTTGCTCACACAAGAGAATCCCACCCAACAACTTCGCTGAGAGAACTAGTGAAGATATATTACCAATGGGCTCAACGTGGTGGCCAGAGAATCTCCCTCTTTAATCCGGGAGGCGCCATAGCTTCTGAATTTCCTGGGGAAGAGGACTCAATTTCCCAAGATGATTGGAACTTCAGCACCACTACTAGCTTTGAGAGAAGGTTCTCTCTGATAGATTTCGATCAGCTTTCTGCGTCATTGGCAGAGCTCGAGGATGAGATAACTCCCACTCCACCCGAGCCACCAAGGGATGAGTATGATGACAGTAACGATGCCGATTTGACTGCACAGGAAAGAGCCAACTTTGACGAGCGGGTCAAGAGAGGCGCTGCGGCTATGGAGGGTATATTTAACGAAGATAAACCGGATTATAAATATGAGACGAAGAGGGATTTTGTCCCCGTGCAGCAGCAAAGATTTTCCTCCGACCTCCCTCTCAGAACTGACACTGACAGATCCTCTGTTACTTCTACTTTGATTGACCTCAACCTTGGCGACTATGAGTCTTCCCATTATGCAGCGGGCTCCGCGTCTAGCAACCCCCGATTCCAGCTCGCAGATGCCAACACAATTCGAGCAAATCGATCAAGCAGCAAACTTACACGCAATTCAAACACGAGTAGCGACTCTAGCGACTACCAGCCAGCCCGCGGACCTCGCCCTCCAACGATGGAATGGACTTTTCCATCCTCAATGTCAGCGGATGCACATTACGACGGCAACCACGACGACGACGGTGGAAGCGGACAGCACCACTTCCAGCCACCACATCAAGAAAAACGAGATACCCGTGCCTGGACCTTCCCAGTTATGACAACTGAGCCAGAGGAGTTATCCGCACACGAGGAACCAGACCAATGGGGCAGCGGAGTTGCCTCATCCAATCGCCTCAGCCACGAGGACGAAATGGCAAAGCGCTTCCCAACCCTCCAGTGGCCGTCCAACAACCGGCCTATGGGCTTCGACGGTGCCTCAGACTCTCGGCCATCAACAGCAACGTCCTATCACTCCGCAACATCAGATGCAGACAACGACCCATTCAGATTCGATAGACCTGCCACCCCGCCCGCAGTCGAAGATACAGACGATCTCTCCTCCTCCTGCGACACGTTCCCCTCGATCACCGACTCAGCCATATTCACGGACTTCGACGCTGATACCGCCCCTTCATCGCTGAACTACACTGTATACTCCCGAAACCACAGCCACAATAACCATCGTGATAACGGTGGCATGAGGAACAGTAACGGTTCACTCGCCGGACCCGGACCTGATCATGACACGGCGGTTGAGGATGGTGGGGTAGAAAGGCCCCAGTGTAGTACAGAGCCTGACACAGGGCATCTGGATTTCCCGCAGCCTGTCCCGCCGAGCATGGAGAGTTTGACAGAGGGTGCGAGTGATGAGGTCTTTGCGCGGGAGCTTACTAGGTTGCTGGGGGAATTCTTGAACGGGTTGGCGATTACGGGGCAGCGGCTTGTTAGGACCGAGGTTGGGAAGAATAGGGAGGTAAGTGCGGATGTAAATGGAAATGGAATTGGAATTGGAATTGGGAGTGACCATGAAGGAGGTCGTGGTCGTGGTCTTTGTCGTGGTGACAATGGTATCGGGCAACCTGGGCCTGGGCGCGAGGATTGAAGTGGAGTTCCTTTGCTTCCTCCGTGCGGATGATAGCGACGGAGAACTGTGGGCGACCGTGAGGTTGTTGTGTTCGTGGTTGTATTCGCGGTCTTGTGGTAAAAATGATCTCAGACGGTCTGGACCCGAACATGAGGATAATTTACGATGATGTTCATTTGTTTCTGACTGTGGATTACAGCAACCTTTTATTGTTTCTAGTTTTAGTTCTAGTTTCCCTCATTTTTACGTTTGCTGTTTCCTTTCTCTTTACGACGCGATGGTATGGATGATTTTGAGAACAAGACTGTGAGGAGGCTATTATGGACACAGCGGCGATGGCGTTTAAACATGGAGGATGATATGTTTTTGCTTGATTTCTAATGTTGCTTTAAATATTAGTTTACAGAGATAGTTTATCCAGTTCCTGGGGATTGCTCTAAGACTTTTTTTGATCGAGCGAAGACGAACTGTGGATCTGAAAAAAGACTCTCCCCCTTTCCCCCTGCGTTCAAACGCGAACACCCGTTTATTTGTTGAAACTGTGTTTTCTTATATTTAGTGGCGCTAAAAATGGTTACAAATGAGCAAATATGTCTACTTGTCTCAACGCAAATGCGTTAAATGACACCTATTTCAGGTACCGGCAATATATATATATATATCCACGGCTTCGAATGATTTGCGTTCGACCGCTGTTTCTCTTCTGTAGTAACTAACGGAGCGGCCCACTCCACTTTGAGAGGTTCAACTGGGCGGGGTTTACCCCATGCCCGCGCTCGACTTTAGGGGCTTTCGCTCACGATATGCTCCGAAAGTTGCCCGAGCATGACGGGGCACAACATGGGGACAACGCGAACCAGTCTATGACGCCATGAAGTTCTGAGCAGATATATATCTAAGTAACCAAATTAGGTTTGTCGATGTTAATGTTGCATGATTGACTGCCATATGCAGCTAATTAAGGAGTTATTAGTTACCTCTTAGCCTCTGCGATTTCGATTCGACAAACTTGGCAATTCTCCAGGTTCCTCTAGTTACCCCATGGTTTGATGGCCAGGGTCAATCCGCTGGCAGCAACAGCTATCACAACGAATTCATCTCCGGGGGTGGCTTGGTAACCTTATCTTCCCAGATACCGCGCAAGCGTCTTTGGATACAACTATTTTGCATCGGGCAAGGAAGGATGCGTGTACTCCGTGTAGAGAGACACGCAGCTTTTGCGGATCAACCGGGCAGTGAGTGTCACAAACAGCCATCTCCCTCCGACACCCAACCGGGCTTCTGCCCTCCGAATCCTGGTGTCCCTCCCAATAAACCCCCCCCAGTGTGTTTGAACAGATTCCATATTTCTCGGCGCCTGAACAATCACGGGATACATGCGTACCTGCATATATGCCTCTTGATCCAGTTCTGGGTAGCATTGGAGTGGAGACTCTGCTGAGTCCTCCCGAGGGTTCAACGGCTGCATGCGTATACCACTCCTGTGGGTACATGTAACTGCACGAGTGGGCGGTGGGTAATAATCTTCCCCCTGAACGGGATCTCCATCTGTTCAGTGGAGTAGTTACATGCAAACGCAAGCATCTGTGTTGGAATAGCCCAGGGAGGCTTTTCCCTTCTGGTAAATTAATATTCCTTATTTGGGCCGTCTCCCGGAGGTTATCGTGTACTCCTTTTTGTGCATTCTCATGTAGGCTATTTTTATGTTACCCAATTCCGGGATAACTTCATTTCTTGGTTTGGTTATCTCTCTATCTCTCTGCAAGAGATCTTTTCGAAAGCTTAAGAATTATCTCCCGCTTTTCTCCCTAATCCTACTCGTTGGACCGCCTGGTTGTTCTAAAGTTTCCAAGTTTCTGGGAGGGACCATGAGCCCGGAACCGAAGATAGGTAAGAGAGGAGAGAAAGCAAAACATGGCAGACCATGGCATCCTTTGATCAATCTAGAATCTGGAATCGCGATCTGATCGTGAAATGGACTTCGGGGCAAAAACATCTATCTTCTCCTTTTTCTCTGCGCGTGTTTTGAATTTTGGCCTAACCCCGTTTTTTGACTGTTTAAATATTATTAACTACTTCACAGGTGAGTTGTTGAATCAACATTCTCTCATCTTTCCAAGTGGTTTTCAACTCTTCATGTCTCCTTTTGCTGCACTGCATTTTGATTGATGTTGATTTGATTGTTTATTCCGATCATCACTAACATTTCTATGCAGAACAGCAACGGAAATTCTTATTTTTCCTCCTTTTCCTCTTTTTCCTCTTCTTCTTCTCCTTACTTTGTTTTTTTCTTCTTTTCTTTCCTTCTCTTTTTCTTCTTTTTTTTCTTTCTTTTCCTTTTTTTTTTTTTCTGTGCTTTTTTCTTTTCCCTTTTTTTTCTTAATCAAAGAAACCTGAAACTAAGCTATAAGGCATACTGAATTCGAATATACCCCCTTAAGCTTTGGGATTTGTTTTGCGTCTGTTGTTTTTGCCTCTTGATCTATCATCTCATGCTTCAACATCAACATATTGCGTCAATTCTCTCCCAGTTGGAGTCTTAACTACTCTGCTGCTTGTGATCTTTTCTCTCATTCTCTTTTTTTCACACGTTCTCTGTTATACTTGAATCATCAACTGCTTCATTTGTTGTTTTGTTTCGTCTAGCTGTTCGTAACAAACACAAGTTGCTATGCTGCTATCCTAACTCTTTATACAAATCTGCGTTTTGCAAATCCCTCAGTCTTTGAAGTATCTTCATGTTTATACGCCTCCGCAACAATGGCGATCTCTGATACCCTCGTGGTATACGGAAATATTGCCAATGCCCTCCAACCCTCCAACCCGTCAGAGCAATGGAAGGTTTCACTTCAGGAGGTCAAACTCCTCTATTTTCGGCGTCAATACAAGCAATGTGCTGCCAAATCTACAAAATTGCTCCGCGAAGTGGACCAGGTTAGCTTTTCTTTTTATTTTATCATCGACATAAGAGCAGATGATTAACCGGTATCTATAGCTTCAAGCGATCCACAAAGCATTCCTTCATTATTACTGTGCCATTTCATACGAAGCACTGGGACGGGGAGCACACAATTACTCAAGCAACAAACTCCCACTCCTCAATCTCGCCAGAGATAATTTCGTGGCCTGCAAATCTTCTCTCGCAGCAGCCCTTCCAGGCTCCGTTGAGAAGAAGAAACAACCTCAACTACCCCAACCGCTGCCACCACGAATATCCAGCAGACAAAGACGCGAACACGCGTCAACGAACGACAAGAGGAAAACATATCCAGCAACGTCACCTACAAAACTTCGTCGTGACACGCCCATCCTGATTGAAAACGAAACCAATACTGTAGCTCCCTCGCTGGAGCCAGCTGAGCAGAAAACTGCTAGCCAGCATACCAGTGTCCCATCCGATAACACAGCGGCGCATGCTGTGTCTCGACACAAGAAAGACCTCATGCCTTCACCCCTTCGGATCCACAAAATCTGCAACAATGGTTTCCTCCATAACCAACTAATCGAATACAACCCACCTTCTTTACCCCCACCTACACGCCCACTACCCGAATTACCGCCGGAAGCCCATTACCGGACCCACTCCAGGGACCACATATCTCTGGCCCCGCACAACCCAGATGCAGAATCAATTGTGTCGCTCTATACCCCACTCGAGCCTCAATTCTACAGACACTCAATTGATTCTTCCGCTACATCTGCCAGAAATAGCGGCGCTGAACATAGAAGCAGCATCAACTCAACCCGTAACCACTGCCAACAGCAGCAGCAATGGAACATCAATCGCATTTTCCCGCTCCCTGCCGACTCCCCACTCATCCCACTTATAACCTCCCTTTGTACTCAACTAGATGCAAACGTAAAATCCACCGGGACCCTGATATCCAAAACCCTCGACCTCCAGCGCGTCCACAATGCCAAGAAAAATAACCGCTTCGCCTCCTTCTGGAGCTTCACGCCTACATACGACGATCCAAATGACGCCTCCACAACTACCAGTGAACCCCATCCCCATAATCACCAACCCCATAGCTATAACCATCACAGCCATGACTACACTCAACCCATAACCAGCCACCCCTCCACCCCCTCCTCCACACCTCCCCCCTTACCTCTCCCCGGCCCAACCCCAACTGACAAAATCCACACCACCACCACCACCACCACCACCACCACCACCACCGCCGCCGCCGCCGCCACCCCATCCTCATCTCTGTCACCCTCCGATGAGACACGCGAGCAGCGCATTGCTCGCCTAAGAGCTGATGGGTGGATGACAGCTGGCCTGCGATCAACGAAATGCGACTGGAAAGGAACGGCGTATTATGAGCGCTTGTGCAATGAGGCGCTGGCGGAGCTCTATGGGAATGGGAGGGTGGGATGAGAGTTTTTGGTGATTGGTGATGGGTTATGGGTAATGGGTAATGGGAAGGTGTACATGTGCACATGCATATCAACCTAGGATATAACTAACCTATGTATAAACCGTCTGGGAAAGGGGTTTTCTTTCTTTTTTTTTCTTTTTCTTTTTCTTTTTTTTTTCTTCCCCCGTTTTCTGTTAACTGTCTCCACTCCTCCCCCAAAATTTTTTTTTTTTTTCTTCTGCTTTTATCTCTCTCTCTTCACATAATTCTCCTACCAGTCCATTTTCCTTCCCCTTCCATTGGACCTTACTTATTTCTTTTTGAATCTTTTTAGCTTCTTGTGGAATTTCTTTTCTTTTTTATTTTTTTTGGTACTCTGTTTATACGTTGATGTGTGTGCACGAGCTTAAAGTATGTAGAATAATGGAAGTCATCACATTTACTTTTCAATGGCTGAATTTTTCTCCCCGGCGCTCAACTAACCTTTGCTTTCCCTCCCCTTTTACCCCCTTGGAGAAAACTCTCATACAGAAGCAAATCCAACCAAACTCCCATTACCCATACCCATCAACTCCATATAACTAGCAGTTAGCTTTCTTTACGAACCCTCGGATCCAATCGAACAACAATTAAAATATGGACCACTCGAAACAT